CACACACACGCCTCTGTTTACCAGCAGTAAGTAGGAACCCGCTTGTTAGTCAATTGGCAGATCGTTTTCCGGGGCTAATAATCCCTTAAATAAACAAATTGGGTCATTCAATCCACGACTGTCTGTGGGACGCTGCAGTGTGTAATTGGCTGCTGTGTTTCACCCACAAAATACACAGTCACTACACTTTACAGTCTATTCTGTGAAACGCTTTGAGATGTCTCAACGACGGGATAAGGCACCATATCAAATTAGGATTATCACTATAAACAGAATGCATCCCTCCAGGGAGAGACAGAAAATCCACATTCCATTCCAGACACAGGAATTTCCACGTGGAGGTGACACACATGTGTGGCATTCTCAGTCTCAGTCTGGTTCCAGACTTTTAAGTACAATGATAGGTTACTCTGTGTGTCAGACATCGGCTGGTCACTGTGATGGGTTTCCCGGCTTGTCACGGTGACGGGTTTCCATGTTTGCCAGACACCCGACTGGTCACGGTGACAGGTTTCCACGTATGTCAGACACCAGGCTGGTCACGGTGACGGGTTTCCGTGTGTGTCAGACGCCCGGCTGGTCACAGTGACTGGGGCCAGTGAAACTTTCCCCATATATAGTTGCGCTATCAGCCAGTCCTGAAAGGGTTAACCCCTGAGGGGCAAGTGCGTGTGGATCGCGGTGTGATTGAAGCATGGAGTGAGCGAGCGAGTGAGGCAGTAATAACTAGCCGTCAGCGTCATCCGTCAGCCTGACAGGTTAATGTCACCTTGTTACTGTGTCAACCCGTCCGTGTGTGTGTGCTCTGCCGGAGTGTGGCGGGAGGATCTCTGTTGTAAGACGCTGGGTTTAGGGGTATAGGAAAGGGGAATAGAGGGGTGGGGGAAGAGGGGAATAGAGGTGTGGGGGAGAGGGGAATAGAGGGGTGGGAAAATGACTAGAGGCACAGTCAAAGTGGAATGCTTTGACTCTGTGTGAGAGGCTGAGCCAGGCTGATGTTGGCGAGGTGTTCGTTAGAAGACCTGAGGGAGGAGAGAGGTAGCTTTGGGTGGAGCTGACCTGAGCCTCCTTGTGGGTGGGTGTGAGATGCCGGTCAAACCCATCGCTGTGCCAAGCCCCAATCCCTCACTAAGCCTGTGAGCTCTCACACACACAGCCTCCCTCACTGCTGCCCTCGCTGGACAAGGTGTGCTCGCCTGCAAATCTTTAGTGAGAAGGGGAGCTTCTCAGGGCAAGACCGGCGGGAGTTTTCGCTCCCACAGCGAGCGAGCGAGTGACTGAGCCCAGGATTATCCGGGACATCATCCGCAAGGATGAGAGGCTAAGACGCTTAAGAAAAAGGAATCTGTTGTGAGTTACAGACAGATGGAACCTTTAATTATCCACGGAAGCAAACGAGGAACAAGAAAGATATCCACAATTATCAGCTCACGCGGTTAATTAAATGATTCTTTTCCAGACAATTGCTTAACTTCAGTCCATCTGTCTGGGGCTGAGGTTCTGCGGTGGGGGGGGGTCTATCAACAATAACAATAACATTTATACAGTGCCCCTCACACAGGGTAATGTCCCAGAACGCCTGAAGGACACTGATATCAGTGAGTTATCAGGGCGAACCCTAGCAGTAAGTAGGAACCCGGTTCTTAGTTGATTGGCAGATCGCTTTCTGCGGTTAATAATCCCTCCAAAAATAATTTGGTCACTCAATCCGGACTGTGCGTGGGACTCTGCTGTGCGCAATTGGCTGCCGCGTCTTGCTCACAAAGTACACAGTCACTGCACTTCACATTATATCCTGTGAAGCGCTTTGAGACGTCTCAACAACGTATAATGCAAGGATTATTATTATGGGCTGCCAAGTGGCAGAGACTGTGAAACAACTCTTAGGAAACACTGCGGGAAAGTTTGCACCTGATCACGGTTTCCTGCTGCTAATTAACACAAGGGCCAAGAAACCGCACAAACTTGTTACTGTTCCCGAATTCAGCGCGAGAGAGGGAGAGGAGAGAGACGGAGACGTGTAGGGAATTGAAGGTTGTGGGTGAAGGTAAATGCACAGCAAGTGTCAGAGCTGCTGGTTGATGGAAACGTCATACTGAGATAGTGTGACAGTGACAGTGACTAATGTAGAACAGTGCCGGTGAGAGAGAAAGAGAAAGAGGCTTTGTGTAATTATTCTTTGAGAGCAGAGGAAATCCTCCTCTTTTTCTCTCTCTCTCTCTCTCTCTCTTTCTCTCTCTCGCTCACTCTTTCCCGGTGTTCCTGGCCAGCAATTCCCCGAGTACAGTATAAATCGGTCACTCGCTTCATGGCTGTGTGCGGGAACGGCAGTGGGCGCTGATTGAAATGTTGACACAGTTGACGGTTTTTCCGCGTGCGTCAGACAGCGTCTGCCTGAAAGACAAATCTTCCTGAACCCGTCAATCCACGAGATTCTAAGCCGTTCCCTGCTCACAGCCCTCTCACGGGGGTTTTAGGTGATTGTGGCAGCGAGCGAGACTGTGACAGTCAGAACGAGAATGTAGGTTCCCAACGAGATGCCAGCCCTGGTGTGCTCCGAGCCTCGACTTAACAGATTCCTGTAGCACTCGCCTCGCCAGAAGAGGACCCGGGTTCGATTCCCGGCCGGGCAGGACGACATCTTAGACAAGTTTCTTTACTCCGGAGTTTACCCAGCAGTAAGTGGGAACCCGGTTGTCAGTCGATTGGCGGATCAGTTTCTGGGGTAATGATCCTTCAAAACAAAATTTGGTCACTGAATCGACAAAGATTTGTGAGACACTGATGTGCGTAATTGGCTGCTGAGTTTCTCTCGCAGTCACTCCATTTTACAGTATAATCTGTGAAACGCTTTGACACGTTTCAACGACACGATAAGGCGCTGTATCCAAATGCAAGGATTATTATTTTGATGATTATTAATCGCACGCTGCCCCACAAACAAGGGATCTGTAATAACGAACCTCCTGTGTGCTGTGTGAGCGAATCTGTGAGCGGCAGTCAGTGCTTGATGTTTCAGGACTTGTTCGGGGGCTGATTGTGCTGTGGGTGACGGCTGACATTTGACTGTTTGTGTTTAATTGCTGATTTACGTGCTGAGAGATGAGATCTGATGCCTGATGTCGTCCCTTTGATCACACGAGGCAATGGCCCTGAGGGCTGGTGCAGGCGGCTGCCACACAGATGACTTTGAAACATGATTAAGATGGATGCCTGAGAAATCACAGTGACAGCCTCACTCTGTTCCTCATCTGCATTCGGCCTGTGAGTGGTGTATTAGCATTACATGTTCTACAGGCCTGACACAGACACATACGCGCACACATTGCGCCGTGTTATCATGGGGGCCTTTCCCACAGTAAACACACGTGTGTTCCCGTGTCTCGCTCCACATGCACAACAAAGGGGACAACACTGTAGTGTTGACTTTGTTACATCATGATTCGTTCCGCATGTAAACACGGTGCGGAGACAGGATAGTAATAACAACAGTAATAATAATAATGCTTGCGTTTCATACAGCAACTGAGCCAGGCTGACACACAGCGACTGAGCCAGGCTGACGCACACACAGCGACTGAGCCAGGCTGATACACAGCGACTGAGCCAGGCTGACACACAGACCTTGAAGCCACCTTTCCTGACGGGCACACTCGGCTTGTGCGTCCGCAGCTTTTGTAATGGTTTGTGCCATGGCTGCCGTTTCCGCTCAGTGACTGTCTGCTCAGAGAGAGTCTCTCTCCAGCTGCCCAGGGCTGCCCGGCGTATCGTGTCCCCTAAGGGGAAGCTCTCCTGTGAGCAGGTAACAACACCACAGCTGCACTGATTCCCTCTGACAGCTTCAGCCGCTCAGTCTTTCAGCGATTTCCTTTCTCTCTCTCTCTCTCTCTCTCTCTCTCTTTCTCATTCTCGCTCGCTCACTCTCTCCCTCTCTCGCTTCCTTGGGTGTAATTTCCTCAATGACTCTATTTCCAGGAATTTACGTTGGCATTTACAACCCCTCAAGTCGTCTTAAATCATGGCAGCACAAACCGCAGACAGCGAGAGTGAGCATTGCCTTCCAGTGCATAGGACTTGGCACCTGCCTCAGGGTCTCTTTCACTCTCTCTCTCTCTGTCCGAGTCACAGGGCTGTGGGTTCGAGCTCCCCACATCGGGGATTCTGAGCTCACTCCGAGTCACAGCTTGGGGGGTGGGAGGGGGGAGAGAGAGAGAGCGTTGCCTTGTTGTGTCCTTTAGATGAGACGTCCTCTCGTCTGTGGCCTGTTCAGGTGGATGTTAAAGATCCCGCAGGGCTGCTCGAAAAAGAGAAAGGGACAAACGTGTTTAATAATAATAATAATAATAATAATCCTTGCATTTGATATAGCGCTTTTCACGTCGGGAGGACGTCCCAAAGCGCTTCACAGAACACACTGTAAAGTGAATTGACTGTATATTTGTGGGCGAACGCGGCAGCCAATTGCGCACAACAATGTCCCACAAACAGTCGTAGATTGAAAATGACTAATTTATTATTGTTTTTGGTTTTGGAGGGATTATTATTAGGCTCTGTGTGGAGTAAGGAAACTTGCCCAAGGTTTCGCCCTCTGCCTGGAATTGAACTCAGGTCTCTCGCTTGCAAAGCGAGTGCTCTAACCACTGAGCTACAGGACTCCGTAATTGCAAGTGTCAGAGGAGCATCCAGTCTACTCTGCAGTAATGCTCAAGTCAGTGTTAAGACTGAGGATTCCAAGGCTCAGACAGAGACTGTTAGTGCGTTAGTTATTCTAACAAATCACACAGTCACTACACTTTATAGTGAAGCTCTGTGCGAGTTCGTCGCGGTGGGATAAGGCGCTGTTTCTGCTGTAATCGATGATGGTTATTGTACACGGTTTGTGCCTGTGTCACTGGGAGGTGTCTCTGCCTGTGTGTCTCTGTCACTGCGAGGATGGCTGTGTCTGTGTGTTGCCGGGAGAATCTCTCTGGCTGATGGTTTCCACCTGTTTCTCTGCTCAGGGCTGATTCACCCCGCGTGTGCGCAGACGCTGGCCGAGATGCGGCATGAGGAAGGGCCGCCGGGGCAGGGGGCCGGGGGGCCATACCCCAGAGCCAGTGCACGTCTCGAGGACTGGAGGGCAGAGAGCATGCGGAAAACATCTGGCGCAGGTAAGCACAGCAACACAACTACGCCGTAACACCTCACATAACTACACAGTAACACCTCACTCAGCTACACATTCGCAAAATACCGGCCAGCCCAGGGGGGTCACTCTGTGGCCAGTAATCAGTCTGACCCCTCACACACAAAGGTTTACAGCACACACGAATATAGTCAAGTGAATTGACTATATATATTGTGGGTGAAAATGTGAGGATTATTATTTATTAATCGAAATTCCTGGCTTGGCTGTCAGCCGTCTCTGCTCAGTCACAGCCCATCAGTCTGTCTCTGAACACACTTTACCCCATAAACACTGCCTGTTATTTACAGCCCATTGTCAACCTGGCCGGCCTCTCACTCACCCCCATATAATTCCACACTGAACTCATTACTCCTGGCCACACTGGCAGTACATCACACACAGCATGTTATTACCCTCTCCGTTAACTCCGGTGACCTCCTGCTCTCAGCCGCTGGGCATGTGATCATAATAATAATAATAATAAACCTTGCACTTGATACAGCGTCTTTGAGACATCTTAGAGCGCTTCACAAAATATACCATAAAGTGTAGTGACTGTATAATTTGGTTACTCAATCCATGACTGTTTGTGGGGACGCTGCTGTGCACCATTGTGGAGTCCTGTAGCTCAGTGGTTAGAGCACTCGCTTTGCAAGCGAGAGACCTGAGTTCAATTCCAGGCAGAGGGCGAAACCTTGGGCAAGTTTCCTTACTCCACACAGAGCCTAATAATAATCCCTCCAAAACCAAAAACAATAATAAATTGGTCATTTTCAATCCACGACTGTTTGTGGGACATTGCTGTGCGCAATTGGCTGCCGCGTTCGCCCACAAATATACAGTTAATTCACTTTACAGTGTGTTCTGTGAAGCGCTTTGGGACGTCCTCCCGATGTGAAAAGCGCTATATCAAAATGCAAGGATTATTATTATTATGTAAATCTATCTGTATTATCTGCTTCAATTACAACTTATGGGAGTGAGTTCCGCCCTCTGTCTGAAGAAGTTCCTTCTAAATTCTCATTTCAATCCTCCATTCACTATCTTATACTCGTGTTTTTCCGTGAAGTCTCGGTCACAAATAGGAACCACCTATTTGAGCTGAAATATGGTGTTGTATTGGTTTCACTTGTGGCATTGTAATTAGTACTGTAGCTCAGGTGGAGTCCTGTAGCTCAGTGGTTAGAGCACTCGCTTTGCAAGCGAGAGACCTGAGTTCAATTCCAGGCAGAGGGCGAAACCTTGGGCAAGTTTCCTTACTCCACACAGAGCCTAATAATAATCCCTCCAAAACCAAAAACAATAATAAATTGGTCATTTTCAATCCACGACTGTTTGTGGGACATTGCTGTGCGCAATTGGCTGCCGCGTTCGCCCACAAATATACAGTTAATTCACTTTATAGTGTGTTCTGTGAAGCGCTTTGGGACGTCCTCCCGATGTGAAAAGCGCTATATCAAAATGCAAGGATTATTATTATTATGTAAATCTATCTGTATTATCTGCTTCAATTACAACTTGTGGGAGTGAGTTCCGCCCTCTGTCTGAAGAAGTTCCTTCTAAATTCTCATTTCAATCCTCCATTCACTATCTTATACTCGTGTTTTTCCGTGAAGTCTCGGTCACAAATAGGAACCACCTATTTGAGCTGAAATATGGTGTTGTATTGGTTTCACTTGTGGCATTGTAATTAGTACTGTAGCTCAGGTGGAGTCCTGTAGCTCAGTGGTTAGAGCACTCGCTTTGCAAGCGAGAGACCTGAGTTCAATTCCAGGCAGAGGGCGAAACCTTGGGCAAGTTTCCTTACTCCACACAGAGCCTAATAATAATCCCTCCAAAACCAAAAACAATAATAAATTGGTCATTTTCAATCCACGACTGTTTGTGGGACATTGCTGTGCGCAATTGGCTGCCGCGTTCGCCCACAAATATACAGTTAATTCACTTTATAGTGTGTTCTGTGAAGCGCTTTGGGACGTCCTCCCGATGTGAAAAGCGCTATATCAAAATGCAAGGATTATTATTATTATGTAAATCTATCTGTATTATCTGCTTCAATTACAACTTATGGGAGTGAGTTCCGCCCTCTGTCTGAAGAAGTTCCTTCTAAATTCTCATTTCAATCCGCCATTCACTATCTTATACTCGTGTTTTTCCGTGAAGTCTCGGTCACAAATAGGAACCACCTATTTGAGCTGAAATATGGTGTTGTATTGGTTTCACTTGTGGCATTGTAATTAGTCCTGTAGCTCAGGTGGAGTCCTGTAGCTCAGTGGTTAGAGCACTCGCTTTGCAAGCGAGAGACCTGAGTTCAATTCCAGGCAGAGGGCGAAACCTTGGGCAAGTTTCCTTACTCCACACAGAGCCTAATAATAATCCCTCCAAAACCAAAAACAATAATAAATTGGTCATTTTCAATCCACGACTGTTTGTGGGACATTGCTGTGCGCAATTGGCTGCCGCGTTCGCCCACAAATATACAGTTAATTCACTTTACAGTGTGTTCTGTGAAGCGCTTTGGGACGTCCTCCCGATGTGAAAAGCGCTATATCAAAATGCAAGGATTATTATTATTATGTAAATCTATCTGTATTATCTGCTTCAATTACAACTTGTGGGAGTGAGTTCCGCCCTCTGTCTGAAGAAGTTCCTTCTAAATTCTCATTTCAATCCTCCATTCACTATCTTATACTCGTGTTTTTCCGTGAAGTCTCGGTCACAAATAGGAACCACCTATTTGAGCTGAAATATGGTGTTGTATTGGTTTCACTTGTGGCATTGTAATTAGTACTGTAGCTCAGGTGGAGTCCTGTAGCTCAGTGGTTAGAGCACTCGCTTTGCAAGCGAGAGACCTGAGTTCAATTTCAGGCAGAGGGCGAAACCTCGGGCAAGTTTCCTTACTGCACACAGAGCCTAATAATAATCCCTCCAAAACCAAAACAATAATAAATTGGTCATTTTCAATCCACGACTGTTTGTGGGACATTGCTGTGCGCAATTGGCTGCCGCGTTCGCCCACAAATATACAGTTAATTCACTTTATAGTGTGTTCTGTGAAGCGCTTTGGGACGTCCTCCCGATGTGAAAAGCGCTATATCAAATGCAAGGATTATTATTGGCTGCCACATTTCACCCACAAAATATACAGTCACTTCACTTTACAGTGTATCCTGTAAAGCGCTTTGAGACCTCTCAGTGACATGATAAGGCCAAGATTATTATTATTATTATTATTATTATTATAGTGTCCCGCTGGCGGCAGCTCTTCACATCCCTCAGCAAAAGCTTCGCCACAATCAGTGGAGAGACTCAACCTCCATCTACCGATGAAGCCGAGGGCCCGAATAATGATATAATATATAATAACAATATAATAATAATATGAAGGTGTCATAAAGTAACAATGGCCTAATATTGATGATATAATGATATAATAAAATCTGTTGTAATAATGATAAAATAAACCGCAGACCATATGAATGACACAGACTGGGAGCCGCTATATGATGCAGTGAGTGTATGTTGGAGCAAACAACAATAACAAGTTACACTTGTCCAGTTCCCAGCACCTCTCCTTCCAATAGTGTCACAGATTAATGTCCACCTGAACAGGAAGACAGAAACTAGGTTTAATGTCTCATCCAAAGGACGGCATCTCCGACAAATCAGCACTCCCCCAACACCGCAGACTATATGGGCTCTGAGTCCCAACATGGGGGCTTGAATCCACAACCTTCTGACTCAGAGGCGAGAGCGCTACCCACTGAGCCAGGCTGATGGGACGAGAGCCTGGGGAGGTGTGGGTGGAGGGTGGAGATGGAGATGAGACAATAACAATGGCTGAACAGAGATTAGAGGGTGGACAGGAGAGTGCAGATAAAGCAAAGAGCAAATCTGGGGACAAGAAGTATAGGCAGAGTTTAATCGGGAAAATAAAAGGTAATTAAGACAACAATTAAACGTCTGCATCTTAAACCCGAACATGAGGGTTAGTGTCGTCACCGAGATGCTACCAGAGCTGAGTCTCACACTGAGCGGGGAACGTACATCAGTGGGAACAGACCAGGGACAGTTTACAGCTCGTTTTCTCTGAGGTTACGGAGCCGGGAGCGAGGAGTGTGTCTCCAGGCATCAACAGTGGAATATTATTTTAAATAGTAATAACTTGGCCACTCAATCCGCCACTGTTTGTGGGACGCTGTTGTGCACAATTGGCTGCTGCGTTTCACCCACAAAATACATAGTCACTCCACTTTACAGTATATCCTGTGAAGCGCTTTGAGACGTCTCAAAGACACGATAAGGCGCTGTATTAAATACCAGGATTATTATTATTAAGTCAGACCATCGCTCCTCAAACTCAGGGTTTGATAGTGATATATCACCTTACTGCATCGTCAAGTCTCAAAGCGCTTCACAGGATGCATTGTAAAGTGCAGTGACTGTGTATTTTTGTGGGTGAAACAGCTAATTTGCACACAGCAACATCCCACAAACAGCCACAGAGTGAGTGACCAAATTTGTTTGGGGGGGTGGAAAAGTGGGTGGATTATAGGTCAGGACACCGAGAGAGAGAGAAAAACTCCCTTCTCTTTTCGAACAGTGCCACGGGAGATCTTTAACGTCCACCTGAACAGGCTGACGGGGAGGGAAGGTTAACGTCTTATCTGTAGGACGGATCAGGCAGGTGTCAGGTGTTCAGGGAGCAGCAAGGATAGATCTCTGCGCGTCTCACTTTCCACTTGAAAAGCTCTTTACGTCTGATTACCTTCCTGTGTGATTACACTGACTGGGAGCTGTGTGTCTGACCAGCTGATTTCACATAGCAAATAATACAATTTATTACATTCCGTTTGTGATCACGGCCGTCAGTCGATCAGTGTCTGTCAGTCAGTGTCTGTCAGTCAGTGTCTGTCAGTCAGTCAGTTATTCTGTGCTCTCCATGTGGGGTAGCGTGTCAGGAGCTCGAGAGTGGGGCTAACGTGGTGTGTGTAGGAACATCTGCAGTGATTTACACCCAGTGCCTGTTCCCACCCCCACCCAGTGTAAGGAGAGGGGGTGTCTGTGGAGGGGAAGCTTTGGGAACCTCAGATCCCAAGTTGCCTGATTCTTCCCAAGCCACAATACACTGCACGACCCTTACACTGTCTGTCACCTCTGGAGCCTGTTCTCATTCCATGGGGACTGCGTGCAGGAGCCTGGACAGTGATGGGCAGCACGTTCCTGGCTGATACCCAGACTGAGCTGACACTGAGGTCAACCACAGCTTCCCCCACCCATTCATAGCCTCACACACAACCTTGCACTGGCCCCCCCTCCCCAGACACACAGGTTGCTGTAACCTGGCACTGCGCCTGACATAGCTTGTCCCTTGTGCTCTCTGCTCCACCATCGGTGGACACACTTTCAGCCCCTATGTCACCTTGCCAGCAGCACATCTTGTCTGTCACTGTGACTGGGCCGGGTTTGCTGACCCTTTGTCCCTCACCGAGGCATTGAACAAAGAGGATAAACATCTTTAATTAAAGCTGGATTTTCTGTGAGGATTTTTTCTCCGAAACAGCTTTTGTTCGGTGGCTTATTACTGTATGCGCGGCTCGTAACAGTGGGGCTGAAACTTCATTAACTAGGGAGGCGGCCGTGGAGTGGGGCGGCGTGGGGGGGTGTCGGAGAGACACGGAGGGTTGGGTCGGGGGCACTGGGAGCTGGTGGGGTGCATGGGGAGGGCTGGGGAATTAGGGGGCTGGGTAAAGCAGCCTCATGAGGAGAGCTTCACCTCCAGCTCTGGAACAAGGGCAGAAGGCGAGGCTGAGTCCAAGTTCACCTGGTGTTGGACATGGCAGTTGGGCTGGAGGCAAACGGAAGGAAATGGTGACAAAGAGAATTTCTGAGCTTCACTGAATGTTGTTGTTGTGTTTCCCCTCCAGGCCCAGCCTCGTCCTTCACACTGCAGCCCAGGGACAGGGTGGTGGTGGCTGGGCAGCCCGTTACTCTCTCCTGTGCCATCGCTGGGTATCACGGCCTCGTACTGTGGACAAAGGACGGTCTCGGGCTAGGAGTGGAGAAGCAGTTGCCAGGTAGACACACACTCCGCACCTTACACACTCACACTCAGCAGGTTACACACTCACACTCAGCACATTACACACTCACACTCAGCCCTTTACACTCACACTCAGCACGTTACACACTCACACTCATAGATAGTCACACTTAGTAGTACATTACACACTTATACACTCACATTGTGACTGTGTAAATGAGTGACTGTGTGTGTGAGTGAGTGAGTGTGTGTGTGTGTGACTGGTTCCTAACATGCTGTGCTGTGACTGTCCAGGTTACCCCCGCTATTCTATGGTGGGTGACCCTGTTGTGGGGGAGTACAGTCTGCGGATAGAGAAAGCCGAGCTGATCGACGATGCCGTGTACGAATGCCAAGCAACACACATGGCCCTGCGTTCCCAGCCGGCCAGGCTGACTGTGCTCAGTAAGTCCACCTCACTACACGCTCTCACACATGTCGATCAGGCGACACACGTGACCAGGTCAACGTGACGTAATTCAGGGTTTAAACTTCTGCTGTTGAGAACGAGGTCCCTCTCAGCCCGGCTCAGCCGCTGGCTCTCGCCACCGAGTCGGGAGATTGTGGGTTCGAGAGGGGAGAGAGAAGTATTGTCAATGGTGCCAGCCTTCAGCTGAGACCTTAAAATGAGCTTCTTGTGTTAATAATCCCACAGCGCTGTTCAAAAAGAGAAAGGAGTTTCTCTCTCTCTCTCCCTCCCCCTGTGTCGTGGCTGATAATCCCCCAGATAAAACCCATCACTCACTTCACCGCTGTTAGCGGGGATGTTGCTGAGCGCAGATTGACTGCCTTTTTCCCACTTTACACTAAATGCAGTGAAGCGCTGTGAGACGACCTCAATGCCAGGCTGACTGTAAAGCAACTCAGAGCTGAGCTGATCAGTATTCACACGGCTCCTCAGTCACAAAAAGGCTTTATATCCCATTGGAAACAAGCACAGCCACAGCCTGGCCTGGCTCAGTGCCCACAGCCATCTCTCTGCTCACACAGGCTAACAATCCCTCAAGCCTGAAGGAACCCCACTCCCTCTAGTCTGAGCCCCAGTCTGGGCAACCACTGGGCTTTCCCCCCGGGTTCGCTCTCTGTCTCTCGTTCTCTCTGTCTATCTCTCTCTCTTTCACTCTCTGTCTGCTCTAACCATGAGCTCGAGGACTCCCAGGTGTATCTCCCTGGGGCTCCGGAGCTCAGATCTTCACAGGAGCGTCTCAATAATGAAGGAGTTTGTAAGCGGCATCGAGCGAGGCTGAGCTGTGTGTGGTGGGGGCTGTTTTGGGGGTGGGGTGGGAGTGGTGGGATGTGCTCTGTGCTAATAGGCAGCTGCTTCCTGGCTCCAGCCCAACATAGCTGTGTCATGTCAGCCCCACATTATGTGTTTAATCAGCAAACAGCTGCTCCTCGCTGCCCCCACTTACACTAACACGGTTAATTCAGTGGCTGAATTGAGGCAGATGGATTGTCAGGGAGATCTGCTGCTGAGGACTGGAGGCTGGGGAAGGAGCAGCTAGGAGTTTGGACTGCGCGGAGGCCAGTATCTGTGTGAGCGAGGGCAAGAGCCAGAGGGGCAGTCGCTGGCCTCCGGCCGCACCCCCCCCCACCCCAGGTCCTGTGGTCACTATAATCAATTGATTTAATGAACATTTGGGCAACTCCCAGCTGAACGTCTCCACATAGCAATGACCCAACAGCAAGAACGCATTTTGCATTTTGAGGTCAAAGCGCATCCAATCGCTGGTCCTGAAAGTGATAATATTAATAATAACAATAATCCTCGCATTTGATATAGCGCCTTGTCACATCTTCGAGACATCTGTAAAGTGTAGTGACTGTGGTATTTTGCGGGCGAACACAGCAGCCAATTGGCGCACAGCAATGTCCCACAAACAGTGGTGAAGTGAACGATGGGGTTTATCTGGGGTAATTGTTGGGCAGATACCTCCAGATGCAGGTTACAACTAGCTCTTGTTGTTTGTTAAATAAGTCCAATGTCTTGGCCTCAGGTACCTCATGTGGGAACCGTATTCCAGCTGTTAATTGCCTTGAGTGTAAAGCTGGAGCAGCTAGTGTCTGTTCTAGTGTGAGTGCCTGGTGTCTCAGGGATTTGTGGAGATGAGGAGCAGTGAGGGGAAGGAGTAATGACACAGGCATCAATTTGTGGACATTGGGCCAAATGGCCTCCTTCTGTGCTGTAAGATTCTCTGATAACTGTGCAGGGCTGTGGGGGGAAGAGTGGGGCAGCGGGAATAGCTGGCAGCTCTTTCAAAGAGCTGGCACAGGCGCGATGGGCTGAATGGCCTCCTTCTGTGCTGCAAGATTCGATGAGGAGCCACGTGAAGATTTGCTGTGTGAGAAGCCGTGGGTTTGAGGCAAGTTGCCGCTTCCTGCTCTGCGTTCCTGCAATGTGGCCCCGAACACCTTTATCCACATGAAGCAATCAGTGTCTTCACCCCTCGAGCCTGCGAGGAGTGCTGTGAAGAATGAATTTAACACGTCTGCCACTTTCCTGATCTCTTGTGATGTTTCCAGTGAACATCGCGCCCAGGATCAAGCTCGTCTGTAATTCATGCGTAGCTGGGAGAAATCGCATCCGTCTTACTGTGCCCTTCAATCCCCTAACATTGCTTTCATGCTTCCCTGACACTCAGCTTCGTTATCCTCAGTTGGCTTTCAGACACTCTCGCTCCACACATTCCTCATCTCCTTTGAAATAACTTTTATTCTGCAATTTACAAAGGTTTCCTTTTGTTTTGTTCTTTTCTTCACATTAAAATGGGCTTTGTCAGGTTCATGAGACGCCGTCCGGCATGGAGGGCGCTATATAAGTCCAAGTTGTTGTTGTGTTGTTCATTAACGTCGCCTTAATACAATAGTAATAATAAAAATCCTTGCATTTACGTCGTTGAGACATCTCAAATTTCAATATATTGCAAAGTGTAGTGACTGGGTATTTTGTGAGCGAAACACGGCAGCCAATTGTGTACAACAGTGTCGCACAAATAGTCATGGATTGAACATAAGAACATAAGAAATAGGAGCAAGAGTAGGCCATTCGGCCCCCCTAGCCTGCCCCGCCATTCAATAAGATCATGGCTGATCTATTCTAACTCCACCTACCCGCCTTATCCCCATATCCCTTAATCCCTTTATCCACAAGAAATCTATCAATCTCAGTCTTGAGTGACCCAACCTTTTTTTTTGAAGGGACTATTACCCTCAGGAAGGCGATCTGTCAATCGACAAACAACCGGGTTCCTACTTACCGCTCGGTAAACAGAGGCGAGTGGAGTAAGGAAACTTGCCCAATATTTCTCCCACCCGGGAATCAAACCTGGGTCCTCCCGCTTGCAAGACGAGTGCTTTAACCGCTGAGCTACAGGACTCCACAAACCAACAAACAGGTCGTGGGCAGGTGACAACCAAGTGTTAACCCTGACACATGATGAGCAATGGACACTTTCGAGGGTGGAACACCATGGCTGACCCTCACCAGCATCAGGAAGGGACCTGAGGGAGAGAATTGGTCTCAAGGGTCCCGGCTGTTACAGCGAGTGGGTTTTTATTGTGGTCAGTGCCCCCCCCCACCACCACCTCCCGAGCTGGGAGAGAAATCACAGCCAGTGTTACTGACGCTCCTCACAGCCGCGACCACAACCCACAGGCCATCAAATATTCAGGGTTATTGATCAGTAAAAGCTGGACTTTTATTTCAAGGTAAGTTAAGAGACAGAGCCTGAGGGCACACAGGAACCAGGCTGGTAAATGTGGAACAGATATAGAGAGAAACATTTTTATTCTGAGTGGGAAGTGTTTGGAATAATGTGTGATGGTCTGCGGCAGCCTCGGAGTGGGTGTGGGCCGAGAGGTTTCGGGGGCTGTTCAGTGACACCACCTCCCTACAGTCAGGTGGACACATGGGCGAGAGTGACTGTGACCCAATAATAATCCTGGCATTTGATACAGCGCCTTATTACATCCTCCAGACGTCTCAAAGCGCTTCACAGGATATTCTGTAAAGTGTAGTAACTGGGGGGGGGGTGGGGGAGGGTGCAATCACAGGAGCAACAGATGTGATTGCTGGGAGGCTGGGAATCAAATATATATAAGTATATCTTGTATTAAGATTTTATGAATGAAGTGGCTGGTGCTGTCACTTTGAACGGGAAGGTAATTAACATGAATTAAGGTTGCGCTGCACACAGGAGTTAACACGTGAGGGTGTCTGTGACTGTGATCAGCGTTCGTTGACACTGAGCAGCTCATTAATACCTAATTTGTGATGTCAACACAAGACCTCACTGTTAAGGGTAAACTCAGACACTCAGAGTCTCAGACGCTCAGAGACTCAGACACTCGGGTATGTTTGCAAATAATCAACAACAGGGAAATCACAGGCGAGAGATTGTCGTTTGGCTCTAAGTTAATGCTGATAATTGGTGGGTCTCAGCCCGGCTCAGTCGCTCGCTCTCTCCAGGGAGAGAGAGAGAGAAAGAGAGAGAGTGCATTCCATCCCCACAATCTGTCTCTGGGATTTCCATGTGTAATACTTGTAATCATAATAAATAATAATAGTAATAATAATCCTTGCATACGTGCAGATGGGATACACGGAATTCTCAGCTTGGTTTGGAGACTTGTGAGCACGGTGATAGGTTTCCATGTGTGTCAGACACCCGGCTGACGGGGATGGGGTTGGGAGGAATCGGCATTCCCTCTGCACTTCCTGTTGGGGGGGGTAGATGTTTAATGCTGTCATTGCTCCTGGGACTGACTGTGTCTCCCCCCCCCCCCCACCCCCCACCTCCCACACCCCTCTCCCCCTCTCTCCCTCACTCTCTCCCCCGTTTCTCTCCTCCCAGTCCCCCCAGACGGGCCGGTGATCAGTGGGGGGCCGGTGGTCAGCCTGCAGGCGGGTGATGCTTTGAACCTGACATGCCAAGCGGAAAATGCCAAACCAGCCGCCCGCATCACCTGGATCAGGGACGGAGAACCTCTGCCAGCCACCAGCAGCGTCAAGGTGAGGGTTGGGGTGGGGGGGTGGGGGGGACTGGTGGGAATGGGGTGCTCCTCATCACACAGGCTGTTGCCCAGCTCAGGGAAGTGATTAAAAGAGGGAAGAAGGGAGGAGGAGTGATTAAAAGGTAGATTATAGAATTAACAGAGTGTGAGGAAGAGAGGGAGAGAGTATGAGAGAGAGTGTGTAAGAGAGAGAGAGAGCTACAAGACAGCATCGAAAATATAAACTCACAAACCGCTTGTTGCCCCAGGGCTGTTTGCAGTGAAAGTGACAGGTCTGTATTTGATGTGTAACGTTGCCCCCCCCTTCTACCCCCTCCCTCCCACCCTCAGCGGCTGATGAAGGACGGCAAGAGGGAGAGTGTGAGCAGCTCCTTACACGTCCCCGCGGGGAGCCTCGCCAGTGGCCAGACCATCGTCTGCCGAGCCAAGAACCCAGCCGTGCCCGAGGGCAGAGAGACTCACATCACCGTCGACATCCAGCGTGAGCCACTCTGCAGCTGTGACCCCCACTCCCAGCGCCCCTCAATCCCCCCCTTATCCCATGGACTGTATCCTCATCCCCCGTCCGCCCATCCTTCACATTCCCCTCCATCCCCCCCGTCCCCACTCATCCATCCCCTGCCCATCCCCCCCCCGCACCCAGCCCATTACTGCTGTGACAATAGCTACTGAGACCCTCTTTGCTCCCACAGACCCCCCTCTGGTGAACCTCAGTGTGGAACCACAGCCCATCCTGGAGGGCAGCCGAGTGCGATTCCACTGCTCAGCCACAGCCAATCCCCCCGTCAGCCACTACAGGTACCTCACCCCCCACATCAGCCACTACACACACACACACGCGCACACACACACACATCAGCCACTACAGGTACCAGACACGATGAGGAGAGAGAGAGAGAGCAGAGAATGGGGTGAGAGTAGACAGCTCCAGTGGGGAGCAGGAGATGGGAGTGGGGGGTGGGGGGGAGGAGTGGGAAGCAGCCTGGGCTGAATGGCCTCACTCTGTGCTGTAAACATTCCACAGTCCTACAAGTGGGCAGTTTAGATGTCTGAAATTGACGACAATTTATTGGTAATTACTGAATTTCATACTCGTCCTCCGAGTGCTTAATGTGGTGCCATTTGAGACACGGTTGCCCGGGCAGCAAGCCTACTGCCCACCAGCCCAGCCTGACCTTGTGATAATGGGGGGAGCGGTGGGGGGGCGCTTGGCTCTGCGGAGGTCTCGCCCAATGTTTGGCCACTGAGTCCTGGCTAAATTATGGAGATGGACTTTTAATAAAGGATTAATATACATAATACATAGTGAAATCCTTGCAGGTTAAAAGATTTGAATAAAATATACGGCAGAATCCATCAGAAAATCACTTATTAATATGGCGTTTGGGGAAAGCAAGTCAGTCAGGCCCCATCTTTCTCCATTTATTCAGTCGGTCGGCTGGGTTTGAGCAATCAGATTACAGAGAGATGTGTGTGTGTGCTCGTGTATGTATCTGTGTGCATTTGTGTGCGCGCGTATGTGAATATGTGTGTGTGTGTGTGTGCATGCACGTGTGAGTGTGAGATGGTGTGAGTGTACCTGTGTGAATGTACCTGTCTCGCGTACACACAATGTGTCAGAGGATAGTCTCTCAGGAAGCAGCGACTGTCTCCCGGTTTAAGGGGACATAGAGCGAATGAGGATATTGCCACCCGGGATGTTTTGCTGTTATTGGATTTTTCTGTGATTTTAATGGAAGTCGATATTAAAATTCATGTAAATAGGATTCTGTGTCGCTGTGAACTCCATGTATTATTCAGGCCCCCACTGTCTTAATGCTGCTTAACTGTCAAATATTACTGTCTCACTGAGGGCAGCACTCACACTGTTCCATACTGTGTCATGAGTGTGCCAGCGTGTGTGAGAGTGTGCCAGCGAGTGTGAGAGTGTGCCAGCGAGTGTGAGAGTGTGTCAGTGAGTGTGCCAGCGTGTGTGAGAGTGTGTCAGTGAGCGTGCCAGTGTGTGTGAGTGTGTCAGTGTGTGTGTCAGTGTGTGTGAGAGTGTCAGTGTGTGTGTGTGTCTGTGCTGACTCGCTCTCTCTCTGTGTTACAGGTGGGCTAAGGCAGGGGAAGTCCTGGTGGGGGCGGGGGCTGAGGTGTACGAGACAGTTGTCGATCACACCTTCTACACGGAACCCGTGTCCTGCTCCGTCTCCAACCCACTCGGCAGCACCAACGTCAGCCGCACCGTGGACGTTTACTGTGAGCCCCCCCGAACCCACCCCCAACCACCTGAACCCTCCCCCACCCACTGCCCCCTCCAAAACCCCCGCCACCCTCCTGAATCCCCCCACCCACAGTCCCCCACACCCGTGTCCTGCTCCGTCTCCAACCCACTCGGCAGCACCAACGTCAGCTGCACCGTGGACGTTTACTGTGAGCCCCACAGCCCCCCCGAACCCACCCCCAACCACCTGAACCCTCCTCCACCCACTGCCCCCTCCAAAACTCCCGCCACCCTCCTGAATCCCCCCACCCACAGTCCCCCACACCGCCTACCTCAGGTCAAGGGGGTGGGGTGTGCGGGGGGGGTGCGAGGGGGAAGCCCAAGGGAGGGAGGGAGTGGGGGAGAAGCGAGAGGGACGGGAGGGTGGAGGGGGTGCGTGGAGGCGCCTTGGGGCGGGTGGAGGTGAGGGGACGGGGAAGGGGAGCATGTAATTTACTGGGGGAGTGGGGGAGGTGACTCTAGAGGACAGGCCTGCGGTCACTGACCTCTCCGCTCTCCTCCCCCCCACAGTTGGGCCGCACCTGACCTCAGAACCTCAGTCTCTTCTGGTCGACCTGGGATCAAACGCCATCTTTACCTGCGACTGGACAGGAAACCCATCGCTCACCATCGTGTGGATGAAGCGAGGGTCTGGAGTGGTGAGTACAGGGGGGGACGGGGGTGAACGGTCACGCTGTGAGCAGGGTGTTTCGGGGGCAGAGTAGGGTTAGGGTTAGGGTTAGGAAGGAGGGTGCGGGTCTCAGTCTGTGTCTCTGTGTGTATCATTCCCTCATCAGGACTCTGATCTCTGGGGATACGGTATATAGTTTGGGACACGACATGTGCAAGCGAGGGCCAAGCTGGTGAAAGGCGAACTGGATGGACCTTGATTGTCCTTTGTCTGGCAATTCTTATGTCCTTAGGATCTCACTGAGCTCAGTCAACGCTGATGCTCCGACCACAACGCTCCAGGACTCCACAGCGTTGGTCCAAATGGCTTGGTTCCGTGCTGCATCGCTGTCTAACCGTGTGACACACTGAGCCACGGACAGCTGTGAGATCGGCTCTTGGCTCAGGTGTGAACCTCTCGCTTGGTTGGTTCTTCTCAGTCGCTGCAATGGATGCCCCATGGTGTGGAGTGTGGACCTGCAGCACCACACTGTGGCCACTCGCAGTCCTGCAGCGAGTGGGGGAAGCCAAACCGAACCAAACCAAACCCATGGCTCTGGGAAGGAATCACAAATTTGTCGTGTTCTTTGACTTTAGAACATCACCATCACAATTCAAGTTGTGCAAAATTTTGACGAAACTCTTAAATTCAGCCTTTAATTCAGAGATCAAATGAAGGGCAAATCGAAACCGAATTAAGGACCTTCTAAAATGCTGAACAACCTGAAACAATAATAAATCTTGAAATTAGTCTGAGGTCTGAGACGTTGCTGTTTGTGGCCTCTGGTGAGATCACGGGAGCTCTACACTTTCCGGCTGGAGTCAGAGAGCCGTCAGGAAAGGTCCAGGAGCAAGTCCCAGCTCCGGACACAAGGCTGGAGTGTGACAGGCAGAGAGTGGCCAGGCTCCTTCACAGACAGTGGTCACTGAGTGTCAAGCGCAGGACATGGTGTGGATTCACTACTGGCTGAGGGTGTTGGTGCGCGAAAGGGGGCTGTGAGGTGCCTCAGGGGTCTGTGCTGGGACCCCTCCTGTTCCCGGTGTATTATAATAATAATCCTTACATTAGGTATTGCGCCTTATCACGTCTCAAAGCTTTTACTGTAAAGAGAGTCAAGCATATGATTTGACTGAGTAAAATGCAGGTGAACAATTATACTGCCCTGAAGCTAAATGTGTTTCCGTTTGAAGCTGAAATATAATGATAGATGAAAATGAGCAGGAAATGTAACCTCAGGCTGCCCCGGGTTCACCCTCTCTCTTTGTGTGAATCAACTACGATTCTCTTAATGGTCCACACCTTAGAGCTTTATCTTCTGCGTTCCCATTTGCAGCTGACTGTTAGCGCTGCACTTAACGAGCTCAGGAATGTGCTATTAAATACCGCAGACTTTACTGTGATGTGACTGTTCGCGCTCTGTGCCGCAGTGATACCTAACACCCGGGTTACAGGGAGCAGCACACACAGGGATTGTGGTTTAACCTTCTCCCCCTCCTATCCCACCTCACTCCCCCGGCCCTCCCTCGCCCTCTCCCTCTCCCCCTCCCCCTCCCCCTCTTCCTCTCCCCTTCCTCAACCCCCTCCATCTTTCCCCTCTCCTCCCTCTGCCTCCTCCGACCTCTCTTTCCATTTCTTCCCCTCACCTTCCACCCCTTCCTCTCTCCCTCATCCCCCTCTGCCGCCCCTGTAGGTTCTCAGCAACACCAACGCCATGACGCTGAGAGCTGTCACTCAGGGAGATGCTGGGAAGTACACTTGCCGAGCTGTGGTGCCACGGGTAGGAGCAGGCGAGCGAGACGTGACTCTGATTGTGAACGGTGAGAGCCAACTACTGTGCCTTCTGTGTCTGGCTGGTTTACACACAGCCTCGCACTAGGGGTGGTGGGTGGGTGGGGGGCGGGACACACACTCTCCGTTAATAATAATAATCCTTGCATTTGACCCGGCGCCTGATCACGTCTTCGACGCTTCACAGGATACACTGTAAAGTGTAGTGACTGTGTGTTTTGTGGGCGAGACTTGGCAGCCAATAGCACCCACCGATGTCCCCACAAACAGCCGTGGATTGAGCGACCAAATTATTATTATTTATTAATCACCTCCCGTTGCCTCCCGCCCAGGGCCGCCCATCATCTCCAGCACGCAGACACAGCACGCCCTGCAGGGGGAGAAGGGGCAGATCAAGTGCTTTATCCGAAGCACACCTCCGCCAGACAGAATAGTGAGTGACTCACACTCGCGCTCAACAGCAACAACAACGTTCTCTTCACTCGGGACAGTGTCTCCATGCGCTGTACAGTGACGGAGCCTGACGCCGAGCCTGGAGGGGGGCATGGGGTGTCATTCATTGCAGGGCTGGTTGTTGGGTTGACTGATCGGTTGAGCCATCCATCCATCTATCCATATCTAATATATATCTGATATTCACGTGTCGTGGTGCGAGTGTGGCTAATGGGGTCATCGGCTGCTGGGTGTTGCAGGCCTGGTCATGGAAGGAGATTGTTCTGGAATCGGGGACATCAGGACGCTACACGGTGGAGACGGTGAGCATGGAGGAGGGTGTCATCTCCACCCTGACCATCAGCAACATTGTGAGGGCAGATTTCCAAACCATCTACAACTGCACAGCCTGGAACAGCTTCGGCTCTGACACTGAGATCATCCGGCTCAAGGAGCAAGGTGGGGCGTGCCCCCCAACACGCAACCCCTCGCTCTTCCTTTCCCCATCGCCCCTCCGCACTCCTGCCCGCAACCACTTGCGCTCTCCCCATCGCACCTAACCCCCAGCAATCCTCCCACCCGCATCCCTGTTCCCCCCACAATGCTTGTCCGTGTATCTGTCCACACCCCACGCCCTCTGCCCCCTCCCCCTCCAGCTGTGGCATGACCCCAAGTGACCTCTGACCTCCCCCAGAAGCGGTGTCACTGGCTGTGGTGGTGGGTGTGGCTGTTGGAGCCGGAGTTGCCTTCGTGGTCGTCCTGGCAACCGTCACCGTCATCTGCTGCTCGCGCTCACATAGACGTGAGTCACAGCGAAGGGGGGGTCGTGTCTGTGTGGGTGGGTTAGATGGCATGTGTGGGTGTTCGTGTGTGTGGGAGGGTGTGGGGGTTGGGTGTTGAAGTGGGGGGTGGGTGGGGGCTTTGTTGGCGATGTGTGTCTGGATGGTGGAGCGTGGAGTGGTGGGTGTCTGGTGGGGTGGGAGATGGGCTGAGGGGGTTCCTGGGAAGTTTTTCATGGTTTTGGGGCTGTTGTTGCCTTGACCCTCCCTTAATCCCAAAACTAGGTCAGCAAAGCCAACATTCCAGAATGTTCTTCCTTTCCCTCCTTGGCTTCTGTAGACATCAACAACAACAACAACAGCAGTTTGCACTATACAACAGTGCAAACTCCATGTCCCACGCACACACAGTGAACGTCAGTCCAAGGCTGAGCCAGGCTGACACGCTCAGGAGAGGAGACGAGAGAACACTGGGAAAGGGGAGAGAGGGAAGTGAAGAATATTCCACTGTTTAATTGGCTTCCCAATCCCTTTAATATTCCAGGATGCCTGAGTACTGCTCGGAGAAAGCATTCCTGGTGGATAACGAAAATCCCATCTGGGATTCATGTTGACAGTTATCATTTCAAGCGCAGTTTTCCTGCCTTGACAAAGTCTAAATGTCTGAGAAACATTAAGCCTTTGGGAAGACAACACTTTCCATTCATCAGCAGAAAAGAAAGAGCAGGTAACGACCCCCCCCGCCCCCACCCCACAGGGTGCTCCGATCCCAATCGCTCTCTTTAATCCTTTCCTGGGATCAGCCGAGCCCTTGTGTTCTTCCCTTTACCTCTCTCCCGCTTCTCACCTCTCCTTGCCTTGCTGACTCCTTCTGTCTCTCCAAAAAGCCTCACTCCACTCCTTTTTTTGTCACCACTCCCTTTCTCTGTTTGTTGCTTAAAATCGTAGGAACTGTAGAAATGTACAGAAGGCCATTCGGCCCATCTTGTATTTCAAGAGTAACCCTTTCAGTCCCATTTCCCTGCCCTTTCCCCTCACCCCTGTAGCGACTCTTGTTAAGGTATCTGTCTCGTTCCCTCTTGAAGATAATATGGATTGTACCTCAGCCACCGCTTCCTGGGGGAGTATAACTGTGAACACGAGTCGGTGTGAGTGTGTGTGTAAGTGGGAGCACGCTGAGGTGTGTATATGTGTGTGTAAGTGGGAGCGTGCCGGTGTGTGCGTGTAAGTGTGAGCAGACCGGGGTGAGTGTGTAAGTGTGAGCACAACAGAGGATGTAAGTGTGAGCAAGTCAGTTGAGTGTGTAGGTGTGAGCATATCAGGCTTGTGCAAGTGTGAGCATGTCTGGGGTTGAGTGTGAGTATATCAGAGTTGTGTGTGTGTAAGTGTGAGCATGTCTGGGGTTGAGTGTGAGTATATCAGGGCTGTGTGTGTGTAAGTGTGAGCAGGTCAGGCTGTGTGTAAGTGTGAGCATACCAGGGTTTTGTGTATGTGTGTGTGAGTGTGAGCATGTCTGGAGGTGAGTGTGAGTATATCGGGGCTGTGTGTGTGTAAGTGTGAGCAGGCGGGAGTGACCGGTGCGGGTGTGTTACAGACAGTAAGGGTGACGTGTCCGCCAAGAATGACATCCGGGTGGAGATTGTCCACAAAGATCACAACGGAGCCCAGAAACCCAGCGAGCAGCCGCCCGGTGCCATCAAACAGATTCTGGTGAGTGTCCACGTTCCCACAGCCTCACCGCCCGCACGTGGTGAGTGTCACCTCGTCACTCACATGCTGACTGACCGGCGCATGGTGTGGTCTTCTTTCTCACGTGTTGAGTGGTGGGACGCCGTGTGGCCGGTGACTATGAGCGGAAACGGAGTTGGAATCGTGTCTGACTGGGAGTTACTTTGGGAGCAGAGGGACCGGCTCCTGTGATAATAATCCTTGCATTTGATATAGCGCTTTTCATGTCTTCTCAATGTCTCAAAGCGCTTCACAGAATATACTGTAAAGTGAATTGACCGTATACTTGTGATCAGCGTAGATTGCTGAGTGAGGTCTCACTCGGGGCAAGGAGCGAGGGAGGGGAAGAGACGGGAGGTGGGTGGTGTCGGCTGTCAGGAGGATAATGATGACGATTAATGTTCCTCACAGCTGGACCGAGGGGAGTTTGAGCAGGAGCCGGGACTGAAACAGCTGGAGGTGCTGAGCGAGGAGGAGAAGGAATATCAGCACGGAAAGGTAGGCGTCGCTCGGGTTTCTAACCTCGCTTCCCGCTTGTACAACACCCTGCAGTTACACAGCGCCCTTCACCCTGGGGGACAGAGAGCAGACAGGGACAAGGAGGTGAGGCCACACGGGGTGGGGGGGTTGGTGGGGAGCCCTGTTTGTGTTCATAGCTGTTTGTGGCACAAACTACAAAGTCACTAAACTTCACAGCGAGTGCAGTGTGACAGCAAACACGCTGACAGGCTCTGCCTCTCCTGGGGGGGGCAATGTGTCCCACCCTCGGTGGTCTCACCTCGAGCCATTCTGGCTCTCGAATGAACTCTCCGCCCCATGTTGTGAACGCTGCTTCTCTCTCTCTCTCCTATCTCTCTGGTTCCTCAGAGAGACGAGCGAGCGAGGGGTGGGATCGATAAACTTCCCGTCCTGTTTACCCGACTCCGCTCGGCAAGTCCACATCAGAGCCATGTGCAAACTGAGAGAGTTAACCCGGGGAGAGTGAGTGTGAGTGACAGACAGGCAGCTCCGTGCCCCAAACCTGTAGGTGTGTAATTCTCTGAGATGGTTAAAAGGAGACAGATACTCAGGGAGTAATAGCCTCACCACCCCACCATCTCCCCTGTCCCCCCATCTCTCCCCATCCCCCACCCCATTAGCCCAATCCCACCATCCCCTGATTCACAAGTCCCCTGGTCCCATGTCCCCACCGTCCCAAAACTTCTGTTAACCCCCATCTCCCCTCATTGCCTGTCCCACCATCTTCCCCGTTCTCCCATTCCCAAATTCCCTGTCCCCCCCTTCTCCCCCCCCGACCATCACCGTGACAACGTCTCCATGACGACCGCATGTGCTATTGCAGGACCCCACTAACGGCTACTACAGCGTGCACAGCTTCTCCGAGCTGAGGCCGGTGGCGGTGTCGGGGGCTGGGGGGGCCGGCGGTTGCCCCCCGGAGCTGCGGGCAGTGCCAAGCGGGAAGCACGGGCAGCGAGTGCCCACGGGCATGTCGTTCTCCACCCTGTACACCCAGCTGAACGCAGCCACTCGCGGCTACGACTACAGTCAGCGCTTTGTGCTGGGCAACGGCAGCAGCTCCATCGAGCTGTGTGAGCGCGAGTTCCAGCGCGGCTCCCTGAGCGACAGCACCTCCTTCCTGGACGTCCAGTGTAACAGCAGCCTGAGCAGCAGCAGCAAGCAGGAGGCTCAGTTCGACGAAGCCAGCAAAGCCTCCGCCTCGTCCCACTATTCCCACTCGTCTTCCCAGAACTCGGACTTGACCCGGCCGTTGCACAGGCGGATGCAGACCCATGTCTAGTGGCCGTCCGGTGTGGTGTGGTGACCCCTCGCCGGGTCAGGCCGGCCGTCCCCTCTCTCCTGTCTTCGCAAACGCGTTGTTAAAAGTGCAATAATTAATTCCAGGTCTGACTGTTCCCACTCGTCATCACCGCGGCCTCTCTCTCCGGCCCAGACCCCTCCCTCAGCACTTGGGGCAGGCGGGACCCCCTGTGACTCCCAGCGGAGACAACTGACAGGCTCGAGCCTCGGTCACCCCGTCCCTCACTGACCCAGTCACTGCCTTGAGCACAGTCTGGCTCTACAGGTCTGTGATGGGATACGGACCGTCTGTGGCTCCCATCAGGGCCAGACTGACACTGAGAGCAGAGCTGGGGTTGGAAAGGGGCAAAGGCAGGTAACTAGAATTGTCGAGGTACAGGTTAACAATGATCTGATAGATCAGGCTCGAGGGGCTGAATGGCCTCCTCCTGTGGAGGTGGAGGTGGTGATGATCGTGGCTACCACCTGTCATGGTTTGTGGTTGTGTTCTCGGGTGGGGTGGAGTCTGGTTTGGTGGCTTCCAGTCCAGCTGCCTCTGCCCACACACCAGGCGCTGGGCCCCAGGTGGGGCCATCAGAGCTGGAGGTCACATCAGGGCAGCCTGAGTTGACCACTGAGGGTCAAGCGCCCTGTGACACTACCCTGCGTGAGGGGCACTATATAAATGCGAGTTGTTGTTGTTGAGCTGATGGAGTTTCGTGTCCCAGATTACCGTGGATAGGAATTCCATGCAGACATGGCGAGTGAGGTGTCACAGTTGGAGGCAGTGGTGACTCCCAGACTCCCCTCAGCCCCTCGAGTCGCTGTCCCGAGGCGTAGGCACCAGATTGCGGTGTCCAGGCCCCTCCCTCCCCACCCGCTGCCGTCATCAGTCAGTCAGGCAGGTCCTAGATTTCCCAACACAATGATATTAATTAATTCCAGGTGCAATATTCCGATGGGGAGATGGTGATGTTCCTGAGAAACATCCCGTCGCTCACCCACTCTGTGCTTCCTCCGCTCTCCCATTCCCATCAATTCTCAGCTTCTCCGGTAGATTCTGTGAGATTCGCACCGAGCACTGGACATAACCTTTCTCCCTGGCTCCGGGTGCCAGTCTGGCAACACTGGTGGTTAGACACCCCTCGCGCCCTCCCCCTCCCCCCCTAAACCCAGCCGTGCTCTGTGGATGAAAATGTGACGCTTCGTAACGATTCAATGTGATAATTACATAGCCCCCCCCCCCCCGAATATTGACATAAGGGTTAGGCCCAAACAGTCTCCACTCTATGGTGGCTCCCAGTCATCAGCTTATCTCACTAGGTGTTTGCGTGAAGCCAACACTGGGGCTTGGACCCTGATCCCAATCCCAACACTGGCACCGACACTGGACATTTTCAGGAGATCAATGGCCCAAACCATTTAGCCGGAGTCAGAGCTGGGGGTGTGAGGAGGAGAGTTGGGGGTAAGCTCCATGGTTAGGCTCTGGGAAACTGATGGAAAAATGCAATATTTCATACCAGATTTGAACAAATTATCACATCATCCACAAAACACGACAGTCACTACACTTTGCGAGCCAATCCTATGAGGTGCTTTTTGAGACTTGTGGCCGAGGTGAAAGCTGTGTCAGGTTGTAGTTTATCATATCGCACACGGTACAATACTTCACCGTGTCTCCTTGGCCACTCAGACACTGACCTGTGAGCACGGAAGCTCTGTGCTCTTGGTCTCCACGTTCTCTTGTTCTTCCAACGTGACCCAGTGTACAGTGTGTGTGGCCTCTCTCTCTTTCTCTCTCTCCCTCCCTCTCTCTCTCTCTCCCCCTCCCACTCTCTCTCCCTCCCTCCCTCCCTCCCCTTGTGTGGGTGTGCAATGCTGTGAACACATGAGACACTTCAAATAAGTTGCGAAATAGATAAATCCATGTAAAAAAACAAAAAATGTAAATTTTTTATTCTATTTTTCAGTGTTCGATGGGGTTTTACGTGTTACTTTCTCTGAGGCATTGTTTGTTTCACATCCGTGCCATCCGGTCACGCTCTCCACGGTGAGCACATTCCAAAACCACGGAACAATCTGAGCGTCCATGTCCTCGTGTTGTCAGACACACATATCCGGGCACGTCAGCCGCTGTATGTAGTGTGCGAGTACGTGTTAGTGACGTGGCAATCACGATTCCAATCACATAAATTATTGTATTTATCCCAGGTGATTTTTTTTCTTTGATTAACAGTTATTACAACTATGTTTTTTATTGAACGAGTCGTACGTTTTAAGACAAAGAGCGAGCTCGGGGATGCTTACGGGGTGGGAAGGTGCCACTCAGCTCCAGAAAGGCGAAAAGCTAACGAGAGAGCAAGGGTCTCACCAAACCCTGACTTGTAAGCGGCCCCATCACTGTGCTTGCCTCCGACAATCAGTGGTGACCAGGAGAGGACACTCAATGGGAGGCCATGCTCCGTCCCCAAATACGGCTAGGTCTGAGCCCCCCCCCACCTCACACATACACCTCCACCCCCTGCACGCACACACACACCTGCAGCCCCCCTCCCTCACGGCACGCACAACCACACACAGACACACCTGCACACACCGCTTTCCCCCACACACACGCCTGCACACGGATCTCCCATTGGGTGTTCTCTATACAGCATGTCTGACATTATGTCGTTTATGTGATAAACCATTTTATAAAAAAAAGTGAAATAAATTATGCAGACAGAAGCTTTTTGTTGTCAAGTGTAGTGACTGTGTTTGTAGATGTACTATGATAATAATAATAATGCAGGTGTTCCTGGCTCGGTGACTCAGTTCCAATCAGTGACTGATCAGGACACTGTTCAGGGAATGATTGATCCGCTGGGTGACAGCGATTCCTGGATCAACAGCAAAATGTGACTTGTAAAGTTTGGCTCTGCCTCTATCCGTCTGACCTCTGACCCACACGAGCGCTGTAGCCTCACTCACTGCTGAGCCTCGCTTCACCCATTGACACTAACCCTAACCCTAAGTGTGTCCAGCCACCAGACTCTCTCCGGAGGGCAGGAAATTTCCCAGGCTTCCTCCAACTGCACCCAGAGATGCACACATTCGCCTATACAATATATACAGTCACTTCACTCTACAGTGAGCGCTTTGAGATGTTCTCCCATCATGAAAGGTGCTGTATCAAGGGCAAGGAATATTTTTAGCCACAGATCATTAATCTCATTCTGTCATTCATTAAATCCAAGAATCTTGTGAGAAGCCTTTGCTAATGATGTTGCTTCTGTGAGAGCGTGTGGGTCCGATTACACCTGGGAGCAATTATTACCTCTCTTTACCGGGTATCTTGGCTGATTTGTTTGATGATGTTCTGTTGGGATTAAGAAGCAGCTGTTGCAGAACTTCTCTTTGTCTTTATTGGTTCCCAATTCATAGCTATAAATTCCATGTGTGACTTTCACACCATTAAACAGAACAAGCAGATTATTACAATGACAGTATATTGCATCTCCTTCCTCTCAGCACACAACAGAATATGTCTTGTAATTAGTTCTATTCCACACACTGAGATACGTGCATCTGTTCAACTGCAAGGTCTCGGCTTCACTTATTTGGGCTAAGCATCTTCTAGTCCAGGTACGAATGGTGACATGGTGATTGCCCACGAGAGCAGAACCCTGGCTCACCAGCTTCCGGACATTTCCATGTCGTCATTGGTTCAATGATGGGTGGACAACCCCTCCCCTGGAGCTGCCCGTATTGCACATTGGATAATTGTACACTCCACTTAATTGCATAGCAATTTCCAGGTACCCAAAAATTGTTTGTTTGCGTGGTGTTGGGCTGCGCTCAAATGCATATTAGATAATTGCATACTCCACCCAATTATAGGAAATGTACTGTAAATCCCGTGATGCTCTCCCACCATGAAAGGCACTATATCAAATGTAAGGATTGTTAGGATATTATTTTATAAGGAAAGACCTTTCTTAGCTGTTTTCACAGGACACCGTGTCTCCAACAAACAGCCGCAGAAACCTCATGAGAATTCGGAATGTATATTTAACAGGTTTTATTTCCCCATTAAAAATTCCCGAATAGTGTTTGCTGAATTTGATGAATGGCTCGTTGTGTTTGTAACTCACGTGTGGACAAGTGGCCAAGGTGAGAGTCAATGGGTCACAGTTAATCAGTCGCTGTTCACAGCAGATTCACACGTTGGAAATCCAATCCTTCTCCTGAGGGTAAGAAACGTGGATTGTACCAAGGTGCTTGTGTAAAATATCAGCACTTTTCCCAGTGGTGAGTAGCGCATATCAATCACAGGTCATATTTATTCCCATCTTATTTGTGTTGCTACATGGAAAAGGAGGTAAAGAAAACCATAATTTGGGGTGAAAAGTGTGGTGGCCATGTGTGATACCACACTCAAACTCCCTGGCTCATTGGGATAAATATTGGGATGTTTATTGAGATGAATCTCCCAGTGAGCCAGAGATTTCAAATAATAATATAATAATCCTTGCATTTGATATAGTTCCTTATCTCTTATGAGATGTCTCAAAGAATATACTGTAAAGTGGCAAAGTACTGCAGATGCTTGAAATCTGGTATAAACACTGAAGTTACTGGGAACATGCAGCAGGTCAGGCAGCATCGATGAAGAGAGGAAAATGGGTTAACGTTTCACGTCTATGACCTTTCGTCAGACTGCATAAGCTCCCAGGCTAGGTGATGCAGCACTGGTGATGAACGGTGATGGACTTCAGGAATGGAATGGGGTGAGCGCTGCATTGTCGGAGGTACCGTCCTTCGGAAGAAATGTTAAATTAAGCACCAGTCTGTACCCGGTTCAAGCAGACGTTAAAGTTCCTGCAGCACTGTTGGAAAAGAGAAGGGAGTTTCTCTCCCGGCCAGCAATCCCTCAGATAGAATTGGTCACTTCCTCATGGCTGCCTGTTGGGGTTGTTACTGTGTGCAAATTGGCCACCCCTTTCGCCTACAAAATACGCA